ATGCACCTTTGGGACACTGGGTTATAAGTTCCCTATTTTTAGTGCTTGTTTTTTTTATAGTCATTTTATTAAAAGTTACAACTAAAAAGATAAAAACTAATACAAACCAAAAAAAAAAGAAAAAAAAATAGAGAGAGAGAAGATGCAGAAATGAAAAAAATAAAAAATAGGAAAGAAAATAAGAGTAAAAAACAAAAAGAGATATATAAAGAAATGACTTGTCCCTTCATCACAGATATAAAAATTTTAATAACATATCACCTTCTCTTAAAATAGAGTAAATGATTTCTTCTTCTCATATCTCATCTCTTATAAATCCATAAAAACTCTTCATTTCAGTCCTGATCAGCAAAAGTCCATTAAGGGTTACCTGGGATAACTACATATCTATTTTAATTTTGATCAAATAAACTAATGTTATATTCTTTTTTGTTCTTGCTCTTTAATCACTACAAATAATATCTTATTAGAACTTGATTTCTTTTCACTTTTTCTTTGTCCCTTTTCACAAAATTCTTCAAAGCATGAACAAATCTATTTGTAAATCCAATATAGGAAAGTTATCCAGTTTCCTCTCATTCTGTTGTTTGTATATCCCTTTTAATTATTAAGACATTAGCCAGTTCCATTTCTAGTACATGTGAGGACCCAAGACATTCTCGGAAATAAATATGGAAGTTTTGCAATACGACGGATTCTCATTTGTTTATTATCCTTGATTAAAACAATATAAAATAATACCAATAAATTCAAAAGAGACAAGGGCACCGGACAGGCGCCTGAAGACATGTTGGTTCCCTTGGGTATTATGTGAACTATTCCAGGGAAAGTGGAAATGACACAAACTCCACCAAGAACAGAAGACAGCGTCAGTTCCCTTGTCCTCATGTCATGATTCAGCTGGAGAGAAAGCCAACTCCGTCAAGCCATAAACTAGGGTAGAGCCGGTCTTGCTTAATCAAAACATGAAATGTTCACTTCAGAATAAGTCTGAGTCTCACTGTCAAATGTTGGTGCGCGATGGGCTTTTGATAAAGAAAAAAAAATACAACAGGAATAGAAGGATATGGATAGGGAGAAAAAACCCTTTGCTTTTCTTGCCTGCTTATTCTGAGATGCTAATAATAATGTAAAAGTGCAAAGCATCCAGAATAAGTGATTTACACCAGTGTTTCTTAACCTTGGCAAGTGATTTACACCAGTGTTTCTCAACCTTGGCAATTTTAAGAGGGGTGGTGTCAGGCGTGCCTCTGTTCAAAACCCAAGAAAGGAAACCCACATCTCCATGTTTGTAGAGAAAGGGTACTTTTACTGAGTTTGAAATGATAGCAATGAAAGAAAAGCAAAATCTGAAGCAAAAGGCGCGAAAGTTACATATTGAAAGTATCCCAAATCCCTCCCCCCCCCAAGGACCCAGGGTAAATGTCCAATCCCCAACCCAATTGGTGTCATGTGGGCTGCGTCTTCAGGTGTTTTCGCCCATCTGGTATTCCGGGATGGTTGACCTTGACTGGGCAAGTCCCTACAGCTGCGCAATAGAACATGGGAGCAGTCTTCCTTTTTCGTTCACACAGGGCATCTCTCTCCAACTCACATCCCCCACCCAAATGCCAATCCCCCCCCCGTTACTATGGCAGCCGATAGCAAGCAAGCAAGCATCATAGAGGCTGACATTTGGCCCTCCTGCAGAGAGCCTTGGAGGAAAACACAAGACTTCAACTCCCAGCATGCTGATTACAGAATTCTGGGAGATGAAATCCATTCATCTTAAAATAGCCAAGGTTAGGAAACACTGCTCTACACTACAAGGGAATCCTCACAAAAACTATGGTTCTTTTAATAATTTGTTAAAACAGTCATGTCTTTTGCAAGACCTGCACAATTGCTCCAGCTGTTCCCAATTCTATATACATGCATTTGGGGAAGTTATTTTCTGTTGCATGCCATTAATATTTTACGCATGTGATGGTTTGCTCCACTGTTATGGGAAGTTAGAAGGACAGCCAACCTTGTTTTTATTTCTTTATGATCAAAGGATAAAGAGGACTAGTCTTATAATTACATTCTAAATAAAGCTGCTTTTTGGAGGTTTCCTTCCTCTTCACCTTGAGAAGAAAAGACTAAAATCCTTGAATGCTTTTGTGAGACAGATCACTCAGCAACCACTTAAAGTGAATGCCTCTTTCCGGGGGAGGAGGAGGAGGAGGAGGAGGAGGAGGAGGAGGAGGAGGCCTCTTCGGAATCAGATTTTGCAAGTGGCATAAATTTCTGAATAACTGGAAGCAACCGATTCAAATCAGGATACAAATGGAGATACTCAGTATCTAGTACCTTCTCCTGAAGGCAACTGAAGCTACTAAAGGAAAGACAGTACGTCAGGAAGAAAAAGTAGGTAGGATCAGGCCTTCTCAAACAGCTGATTTAGGCAACATGTAGGTACCGGTAGTATCCTACTCTGTACATTTAGGCTTGCCCTCTCTCATCCCTGACTGTGCTTTGAATCCAGATTCCTCTCTGAGGGACTTTTTAAACTAATCACAAACAGATTTGAAGAATAACAGAACTGGAATGGACCTTGGAGGTCATCTAGTCCAACCCCCTGCTCAAGCAGGAAACAAAGTCTGGGTGGTCAAATGGGTTGAAAGCCAAGGAGAAGGAAAGGGCCATTTGGTTGCTATTTGTCTGGGGGCAAGGTCTTAATCAAGATGGGAAATAGATGGATGAGGGAGAGCTGGAAGAACTCAGTGCACTGTGCCCACAAGTCACCCACACATTGGGTGAACAGTCAGGTCTGAAATTAACACTGCTATAGCGCTTAAGCATCCAGGAAGCTCGATGGGAGCACAGCATCTGCAGAACAACTACTGGGAGAAGGGACAATGGGAAGGCGTTGTCAAAATCAAGATGGCGGCCATAACGGTCCAATCAAATCCAACTGCCATCTTGATTTTTTTTTAACTCTAGCCACAGACTCCCCAGGGCTGCATACAAGCAACAGGAAGAGGAATGTATCATGTCTATTTATGGCTTTGGATAGCTACTCGAAGAATGGCACACTGGCTCAGCTGCTTTTACTGACAGCAATAACACAGATGATAAAGCAGGATATAGATTTAAAGCCAGAAATATTTTAGTTAGATATAATACCAGAAAGCTATGATAAAGGGACTATATACTTAATGCTACATGTATTGACAACAGCGAGAATTGTATTTGCACAATATTGGAAAAAATGAGAACACATCACCAGATGGAAATATAATTCGGAAAATATTGGACTGTGCAGAGATGGATAGATTGACATTGAAAATAAAAGATAAAGGAGATACAGAGTACTATTCAACATGGAATAGGTTTTATCAATGGTTAGAGATAAGAGGTAGAAATTAGATGAAGAAAGATCATTGTTATCTGTAAGTAAAATATGAATGTTGTTTATAATTATAAGTATGCTAGTATAATTAATATGATCATAAATAAGCTAATATAATTATAAATATGGTTATAATTATTATGTGTATTATCATTACTACTATCAGTATATCTATTACTTTCCTTTTTTTCCTTTGTAAAATGAAATGCCCGGACAATATACTGTATTCAAAATACTTATATATAAATATAAGTATATTTTTTAAAAAAGCAATAATAAAGGATGGGTATTACATAAATTATTTTGCAACAGGGATTCTTAACTTTGTGGGTAGATTTCAGGGGCTCCGTGAACTTAGATGAGAAAAAATAGCCAGTTTATACTCACTAAGCTCTACTGAAATTTAACTGAGAAACGGTCTGTAGGTTTCACCAGACTCACAAATAGGGTTGCCAGGTCTGCTTCCAAAAAATAGCGGACAAGCGGGGGAGGGGGGGGGTTAAGTAGTAAAAAAATAAAAAAAAATTACAATTAAATTATATATTTTCTTACAAACATTTTAACAGGGAGTCTTTAACAATGAAAAACGAATTGATTCGCTTGTTGCTGGAAGCTATTTTCTCCTTATCTAAATGATTTTTTGTGCTTGCATGCTGTGTGACAGCTTTTATACCATTATATTCAATTGTGAACGATTTCTGCCACAATTTACAGTAGGCCGTCGTATTTGTTCTGTCGGTTTCGTTGTTGGTAATCCATGCAAAAGTAGCTTCCCAGTCTTTGGTGTATTTGCACACTCCTCTCTTTCGTTTTAAAGAATTCGAAATCTCGCCGCCGTCACTCTCATTACTCGACGCCATTTTAGGTCAGTCGACACAAGCTACAATACATTTTAAAAATGTGAACTGTACATAATTTTATAATATATTTTTATTTTAATCTCATCATTAATTTTTTCAGAGAATCGAGTTCAATGGATATTCAATCTTTGTCTCATTCTAACTTATGAAAAAAAAGACAAAACGTGATTCTCCTATCCTTATTCTCTTAGACTGTACAGCTTTAGATTATGTACCATTTCATCATAAAGCTTCTGAATAAAAAAAATGTCCACTATTTTGTGAAAAAAAATAGTGAACATAATGTGAAAAAAGCGGACTGTCCGCTCAAATAGTGGACACCTGGCAAGCCTACTCACAAAGGGATCCATGCACAGCAAAGAGGATCTCAACCCCACATTTGAAAATCTCTCTTGTATTTCTTTGAAGCAGATCTCAGCTACTAGAATAGAATTAAAGAGTTGAAAGGGATCTTGGAGGTCTTCTAGTTGAATCCCTTGCTTAGGCAGGAAACCCTATACCCGTGATGGTGAACCTATGGCACGCATGCCACAGGTGGCACGCGGAGCCATATCTGTGGGCACGCGAGCATTGCCCTAGCTCAGCTCCAGCCCGCATGCGTGCGCTGGCCAGCTGACTTATGCCTTTCGGGCCCACTGGAAGTCTGGAAACAGGCCATTTCTGGCCTCCAGGGGAGTGGGGAAGGCCGTTTTTGCCCTCCCCAGGCTCCTAGAAAGCCTCTGGAGCCTGGGGAGGGCAAAAAAATGGGCCTACTGGGCCCACCGTGCCATTGCGTGCCAAAAGCAGGGTTGCACAGGGGGGGGTCGTGCGTGCATTCACAGGGGGTGGGGCGCATTGAATTATGGGCGTGCTCAAACCCCCCCTTGCTCCCCCCCAGTTTTGGCACGTGATGGCAAAAAGGTTAGCCATCACTGCCCTATACCATTTCAGACAAATTATTGTCCAATCTCTTATTAAAAACGTCCAGTGTTGGGGCATTCACAACCTCTGGAGGCAAGTTGTTCCACTGATTAATTGTTCTGTCAGGAAATTTCTCCTTAGCTCTAGGCTGCTTCCCTCCTCGATTAATTTCCATCCATTGTTTCTTGTCCTGACTTCAGGTGCTTTAGAGAATAGCTTGACTCCCCTCTTCTTTATGCCAATCCCTGAGATATTGGAACACTGCTATCATGTCACCTCTACCGAACCAAGACAGACCTGGTTATGGACAATCAACTCTTTTAGTTGGGTAGAATTCTCAATAATTCCTAATCAGCTTTTGTACAGGTAGTTCTCGACTTATGACTATAATGATCATAACTCATGATGGTCATAAAGCAAATGACCCTTTTAATGACAGTGGGCATTAAGCAAATGCTGCAGTCATGAAGTAAACTGATGGTTTGTTATGGGCTGGTTTTAGAGAAAACCAGCATTTATTTCTGTTATTTGGCAAAGGAGTCATAAAGAGGGGGACAAACATCAGAACTCTGGATCTTGGTTGTAAGTACTCCTTGGGGAAGTCCATCGTAACTTGAATGGTACCTAAGTGATTGGTTGTAAATCAAAGAGTATGAGATTAATCTTTTCCTCTGCATGACATAATCTAGGTGAAATGTTAATATATATTGCTAGTCCATGTATGATATGCCATATGCTAAATAGATAAACTGCATGCTATGCCAGTTTCCTCTGGAATAATTTATACAGTTAGTCCTTACCTTACAATAGTTCATTTATTGACTCTTCAAGTTACGATGGCACTGAAAACAGTGACTTATGACTGTTCTTCACACTTACAATTACAGCATCCCTGTGGTCATGTGAACCAAATTCAGATGTTTGGCAACTGGCATGTATTTATGATTGTTCCAGTGGTGAAATCCTCCGCGGGTCACCATCGGTTTGCTCCCCGCGCACGGGCGGTGCACGCCAGATGTACACTGCACGCGCATGTGCAGTGCACACCAAATGCACGCTGCATGCACGCGCAGTGCACACCAAACACGTGCTTCGGGCAGAAAAAGGAGCCATTTGAAGAACAGTGAGGGGGTAACAGCTGTGCCGCACAATTTAGATTCGCTAGAAAGCAGGAGTTCCTACTTTCTAGCGAATCCAAATCGCACGGCACAGCTGATCGTCGGAAATACATTCCGACCACCTGGTAGCTTTTTTTTTACTACCGGTTCACTGAACTGGTGGATTTTATCACTACCGGTTCGCCTGAATCTGTGTGAACTGGTAGGATTTCACCACAGGATTGTTCACTATCCTGGGGTCATGTGATAACCTTTTGCGACCTTCTGACGAGTCAAGTCAATGAGGAAGCCAGATTCATTTGACAACTGTCTTGCTTAGCAATGAAAATTTGGGGCTTGCTTATAGTCATAAATTGAGGATTACCTGTAGAAATTGTGATTACGAAACAGGATACCGCCTCATTCAGAGTAATGAGGGATACACCCAGCATGAAGCATCTTGTTTTAAAAGGTCTATAGAAGGACGCAGGATGTGTGGATTCCACGCAAATCCTGCAGTTCTGCTGTAGGCTCCCCAACATGGTCAGGGAGGGGTTGCATTGAGATCACAACTCACAAAATCCTTAGCACATCTGGAAGGCGCCAGGTTAGGGAAAGCTGCTGTAGCAGACACCCGACTCCACCACTCCCAAGGCTGCCTCTGGAGGGAGATGGCGATTGCTCCCCAGGAAATATCTGCTTCCCAATTGTCTTTATGATTACAGATGGGCTGAGAGCCGCCTGAGAAGGGAAACTCCAGTCAGCCACTTCCTGAATTGATTTTCCGCTCAGCGTCCCGCAGCAGGAAATGTGGCTGTTTTCCCAGCATGAAGCCTTCATGCAGACAGGTCTGCCAGGAAGGAGAGAGAGAGAGAGAGAGAGAGAGAGACTAGGGAGTGTTCAGTAGCCATGCCCTTTCTTTTCCCCTGACCAATCGTGCAGGATCCCCAATTTATAGAATGAAAATAGACTAGAAGAAACAACACTCCACCCATGCCTTGTTCAAAACCCTTTCAGCCCTCCCCCCCTCCCCCCCGGGAGCTTCACTGAAGAAAATCTCTGCTAATGTTATTGAATAAAACACAACTGGATGGCTTCATAGATTGTGCTAGCACCGTAATGGTGAACCTATGGCAAGTGTGTCGGAGGTGGCACGCAGCACCCTCTCTGAGGGCATGCGAGCCGTCGCCCCAGTTCTACTCTGCCGCACATGCGTACGCGCCTCCCGCCAGCCAGCTGGTCTTCGGGTCTCTGCCGCGCACCCACAGGGGTGTTGGGTGCGTGTGGGGAGGTGCATGCATGCACAGGGGGGTGGGGCATGTGTGGGAACACATGCGTGGGGGCCGCAAGTACATTGCATTTTGGGGGTTTGGGTGTGCACACACGCTTTGGGCACTCAGTCCAGAAAAGGTTAGCTATCACTGTGCTAGCAAAGCTTTTTAAAGCTACAATGGCTGGGGAATGGAGGGTTAATGGACTACTTTAAGATAAGGAAAACTATCAGTAAGGAGACCCCAAAGGTGCTTTTTTTCATGAGGCAATTGGACTTTCTGGTTTTTGTTTTTTTTGAAGACATTTTGCTTCTTATCCAAGATGCTTATTCAAGAAATTTTGGGACAACTATGACCAGGATAACTGAGAATCTCCATACTCAATAAGCAGAGTATTTCTGGATTTTTTTATTTTTATTTTTTTGTGGTCTAGCATCCTGGTTCCTGTAATAGTCACCCAGATTCCCACCCACCCACCCAAAACTTTCATATGCAGGATCCAAAGACAATAACTTTTCTTTCATCCCCAGCATTTAATATTCATGTGTATAATGCTGCTGAGTGATGTTGCTTGTTTGCTACCCAAAGAAAACCTACTAATAAACTCAACTATTTCCATGAATTTGCCTGATCCCTTTTGTGACTATTTATCCTGAATAAAATTCAGTTCTTCCTTAGGCTTCAGACAATTGTTGAGAACTTTAATCCAGAAGATATTAGATTGTAAAATTGGCAGGAGCCACTTAAATTTAGTGGGAGAGGCTGATTATAACCAGTATATTTGGAGAGACCACTTCAACATGTCTTCTATCCTTCTGCCAAAATCCTCTCTTTATCACCACCAGTGCAGCCTCTAATCCTAAATCAGTCTTTTTCAAACTTGGCTGGAGAATTCTGGGAGTTGAAGTCCCCACGTCTTAAATTTGCCAAATTTGAAACACACTGCCTTAAATAAAGCTCCCACGGCAGATTCTCCCTTCATCTTCCACAAGCATTATAAGTGCAGAACCACCTTCAGCCTCTGGATGGCGCCATGTGCTGACTAGTTCATAGCTGGTGGGTCTCCTTCACTTGCCAATACAAAAGTCCTTGAAGATGATTGCCAAGAGCTCTTCGGTGCCCACTTGGCCGGTCAGCCGCCCTAGTTGTCGCCGTGCCAGTCGCAGCTGCTCCGCAGCCAACACCAGATCGGTAAGCTGGTACTCAGCAAAGCATCTGAGGGCCTCCAAACACTTCTGCAAGCTGAGCTGGTGACGTGCTTGTGTTGGACTGGGGGAACCAGTTCGGGGATCTCCACACCTGAAGAGTGAGAATATTAAGATTTGCAGTTCTTAAGTAGATGATTTATCGGCATGTGTGTATTATGCTGGGCTGTTACTTGCATTTATAGGAAATGGGCAGCATCTGATCATCTACAGCTGAGATACACAGAAGAATGTAGGTAGGTACCATGTTTTCCCCAAAATAAGATCGGGTCTTATATTATTTTTTGCTACAAAATATACATTATGGTTTATTTTCCAGTTAAGTCTTATTTTGGGGGAAATACAGTACTAAACACCTCTGTCTGGTTGATGATCTTAACTGGGGCTTATTGTTGGGGTAGAGCTTTATTAGGAGCTTCCTGAAAAAAAAATCATGCTAGGCCTTATTTTCTGGTTGGGTCTTATTTTCGGGGAAACAGAGTAGTCTTCGACTTATGACCATAATTGATCCATAATCACAGTCATAAGTCATGATGGTCATTAAGCAGATCATCATATGACCATACCTGATTTTGCAACCTGTTTTGCGGTAGTCATTAAGCAAACCCATTTTACTCAATGGGCGTCTTTTTTTTTGCCAGAAACTGGGAGTAAACACCAGAAACCGGCAAAAAACATTGAAAACAGTCATCTAAATGGGAACTGGTTGTCAAAACATCCAAAATACAATCACATGAACACAGGAGGGCGGTTAGGCCATCAGAACTCCAGAACTGGGTTGTAAGTAGCTCTTTGGGCAGGTCCATCGTATCTTCAAATGGTGCTAAGTGACTGCTTGTTAACTAAGGTCTATCTGTATGTACGCCTAATGTTAAAGGTTCTATCTCCAATTCCCAACAGCTTAAATTAAGATATTATCTCAGGCCACATCCACACAACTTCTCTGATGTGCTCCACTCTCATTGTGGAGCTGGCAAGAAATATTACCCTTTATTCTGTAGCCACCACACTACCCCCCTTACTATGTACCCCCAACAAGCCCATGCTGCACTGTTCTCTGTACAGCTTTAATAGCAATAGCACTTAGACTTATATACCGCTTCACAATGCTTTACAGCCCTTTCTAAGCGGTTTACAGAGTCAGCATATTGCCCCCAACAATCTGGGTCCTCGTTTCACCAACCTCGGAAGGATGGAAGGCTGAGTCAACCTTGAGCCTGGTGAGATTCGATCTGCCAAACTTCTGGCAGCCAGTGATCAGCAGAAATAGCCTGCAGTACTGCACTCCAACCACCGCACCACCGTGGCTCATTAATGCACAACATTCTAAGGAACATGATCGGCAGATTGCTCATTGGATAGTTCAGCCACCACCCAACATCATCCACCATGTAAAAGGGGTGCAAGCCATTGATTTTAAAAAACATATGTTGTTACAATATACACATCCGCCCTCAATTTTCCCCACTGCCTTCTCTTCTCCTGTTCTCACATGTGTGCCAGGTGTTCCTGCAATGCATTCAGGAAGGCCACAATCCCATCTCCAGTTTTGCAGGACAACAAGCAGGCAGGGCCTACACCAAGTCTCTCACAGGCCCTCAGGAGATCTGCTTGGTCTTCTTCTCCGAGTAGGTCCATTTTGTTCAGAACCAGAAGGTAAGGCTGCATCTCATTTGGCTCGTTGGGAGACAGGACATCTACCATGGACATAGTTAAGTGGTCAGGCTGTTCAGCTGCTACTTTCCCATCCAAAATGACCAGAACAAGGTCAGCATCGCGGACCCTACAAGGAAATATTTTTTTAAAAATCAAGACTTAATTCTCTCCTAAGCTACGGCCTCAAGAATCGTTGTTCATTTCCTAATTATAAGCTTCTGTTCCGAGAGCCATCTTAAGGTTTATTTTAAGAGACATTCCCAATGAAAAGATGCAGATCATAAAGAAATTAAAGCTTTCCTCATAATGCAGCCTTAATTACTACACATATAAAAACAGGGTGGAAAGGAAAGGAAAGCTTTAAGAAATTCCTCTCTGGATTCCTCCCCTTCCTCTGTTTTGAACATGATGATAGCCAGATGTTCTCTCTGGACCACATTTATCATGGCTCCAAACTGATTTATTTTTCTCCTACATCCTTACTCTGCATACTTTGCGCTAGGAAAGCAAGGCTCACCCACATCATCCAGTATGCTGGGGAGTTCTGAATCCACACATTTTAAAGTTGCCAAAGTTGAGAAATGTTGGTCTAGTTAAAAAAAAAGATGAATCGACTTCCGGTTTGTCTGCTACCAATGAAAGACGGTCCCTTTTCTTGGACCGCCAGCCCCGCTGCTTGTAGAGCCGCTTCTATTCAAAGAAGCGGCTTGAAAACTCCCAAATCTGCAGGATTGGAGGAGGAGAGTGGGCAAGGAGCAGGTTGAGCCCCTGTGAGCCCCCAGAAAATCGCTACTGGGGAGGAAACAGGCACGGCTCCCTTTCAACTTGCTGAGACTCCGGACAGCGTGGGACGACTCTGCCTTGCGCAGAGCAAGTCGGCTGCAGCAACCTCTCAATTTAAATGAAATTAACTTCAATAATTAGCGGAAACAACAACTTGAACCTTCAAACCTAGAAACTGCAAGTATTATTGCTTTTGTGACTTTTTGATTCAAGTAAAAGTGCGAGCGGGTGAAAGCGGCTTGTAAAATGGCGCCCGGCTTCAGCATTAACAAGCTGAGACTGAGAGTGGATTTGTAATGTTATTTCAATTAGCTACAAAGTTGTGCTGTTTGTAACAAGGAGGAAAAAGAGAAGAGGAAAAATTCTTTTAAAATAAGCCTGAGCTTGTTTCAGTTTAATTCTATCCCCAACTTGATTAAACCTGGGGGATTTTTTTAGAAGACTTTGTGGTGGTGGAAAAGGAAAAAGGATCTCCTTTCTCAGAAAAGCTAGTCTACGTGGCAGAATGGCTTCTAAGAAACAGGAAGGAAAGGCAGCAGGGGGGGATCCCCCACACGTTCCTCCCAGTCAGCAGAGTCAGAAAAAAGATTTTTATGTTGAAATTTTAAAAGATTTTATTACTCAGGCTCTGGATGATAAATTTCAAAAATCACAACAGGAAATTAAGCAGGAAATTAATGAAATTAAAAAGGTGGTGCAAGAGAAATATGACAAGGTGACTAATAAATTAATGAATGTGGTGTCTGGCCTGTCAGAAGTTATTATTAGAACGGATTCCAAGTTGGAAGAATTTAAATCAGAAATGAATGTTAAAATGAAGGATACTGATTACAAAATTTCTGATGTTGATGATAAAATGCAGAGAGTTGAAAACGAAATTACGATGATGCAGTTCAGGTCCATGGAGTTTGCCATAAGGCTTAGAGGTATTAAAGAGAATGATCCACAAGACCTGAGACAGATTTGTGCTGATGCTCTGGCTGTGCTGTTAAAAATTAATCCTGAAGAGATTTTTTACAAAATAGACAAAATTTACAGAGTGAATTCATAGGTGGCCAGACAAAGACAACTGCCTAGAGATGTGGTGATATATTTTACAGACAGAAGAATGAGAAATGATATTCTGCAAAAGTCTTTTCTCTCTGCTGTGCAAGTGGAGGGAGCTCAGATTGGAGTCTATAAAGAATTACCACCCAAGATGTTAAAAGACAGAAAAGATTTTGGTTTTTTAGTGAATGAATTAAAAAAACAACAAATTCCATTCCGGTGGGATGCTCCAACTGGTATAATTTTGAGGTATAATGGAGAAAGACATCGATTAAACACTGTTGAGAAGGCGGAACACTTCTATTCTACTGTTCTTAAAGAGAGATCACCATCCCCACGTACATCCACTGTGTTGGAGATAAAGGAGAGTGACAAAGAGAAGCAACTTCAGCAAGAGATGGAAGAGCAGCTTAAGCAGGTGGAACCAGAGGTAGTGGAAATGCAGGGTGCTACAGGAGGTTTTCTGGAGGAGCCCCTGTTAGAATCTTCTCCAATTTTGACTACAAGAGATGTGGCTTTGGACCTAGTCCGGATGGCTGAAGCTAAAGACCAGCGTGTAACCAGAGCAATTTCCAAGCAACTTAAAGAAAAGCAACAACAGGAAAGACCCAAGGTACAACAATACAAGAAAAGAGTTAAGAGTACTACACAAGAAAGTGAAGCCATGGAGGAAGCAAAGCCGAAGACTTCGGAAGATATTCGGCAATTCTGCTCGTCGCTTCAAAAAAGTCTACATGACGATTAAGTTTCTATCCTGGAATGTGAATGGATTGAATTCACCACAGAAAAGAAAGAAATTATTTACATATTTGAGACAATTTAATAATGACATAATTTGTTTATAAGAAACTCATGTCAGAACACAAGATCAAAAATACTTGATAAACTCAAAACTAGGAACACATTTTATAGCTTCAAATTTGGAAAAAAAGAATGGTGTGGTTATTTATATAAATAAAAGACTGTCAGCTAAAATTATAGAAGCAGATGAAGTCGGCAGGTTCATAGCAATTGAACTGCACACAGTAAATGGCCAAATTCTAGTGATTGGAATTTACGCTCCTAATCAACAACAGGATCACTTCTATAAAACTTTGCACACCAAAATACTGCAATGGGATTATAGATCTATTTTAATCATGGGAGATTGGAATGGAGTAATTGATTCCAAAGTAGATAAAAAGAGTTTGGCGAAATCAAGGATCAGACTACCACAGACTTTTTTTGACATGAAAGAAGATCTGGAATTAAAAGATATTTGGAGGATACATAACCCAAAAGAATTGGACTTTACTTTTTTCTCTGATAGACATAGATCTTTTTCTAGGATTGACTTTATTTTATTATCAGATGATTTACTTGTTAAGACAAAAAGAACAAAGATCTTTCCAAGAACTCTAACTGACCATAGCCCAGTATGGATAGAAATTGAGATTGGAAAGATTGAGAGAAGATCATGGAGATTAAATGAAAATTTGTTTAGATATGAAAAAAATATAACAGAACTTAAAAAGCAGTTGAAAGAATTTTTTGAAATGAATTTGAATAAGGGTACCCCAATTGAAATAGTGGGATGTGAGTAAAGCGTATATGAGAGGGGTACTCATTCATATGAATTCTAAACACAAACTGAATTGACAAAAGAAAAGATCTGAAATGGAAGCAGAAATAAAGAATAAAGAACAGTTACTTATTAAAAATCCAACAAATGAAAGAATACGTGATGCTATAAAACTTCTGAAAGATCAATTTCAAATGCTTATGGCTGAACAAACTGCAACAAATTTACAATATGCGAAGCATAATAATTTTGTAACGCTAATAAACCGGGCAGATGGTTGGCTTACATTTTAAGGAAGAAGCAGAGTATACGGACTATTGATAGCATTGATATTGGAGGGAAAGAAATCTTTCAACAAAAATTAATTAAAGAAGTCTTCGTAGATTATTACACTAAACTATATGCTAAAGATGATATGCAGAATGGACTTATAGAAAAATATTTAGAAAATAAAAGAGTCACAAAAATTACCAACCAACAAAAGGAAAGAATGAATTATCCTATAACAGTTGAGGAGATTATTGCAGCAATTAAACAACTGAAAACAGCTAAAGCTCCTGGAACGGATGGCTTAACTGCGGTGTATTATAAAACTTTGCAAGCAGAAATGGTTGAGCATCTTAGAGACTTATTTTGTAATATACAACAAGGGGGTAAAATACCCCCGTCATGGAAAACAGCTTACATTTCTTTGATACCAAAAGAGCAAGCAGGTCCTAAAAAACCTGAGAATTACAGACCAATATCTCTTCTGAATAATGATTATAAAATATATGCAAAAGTATTAGCCAACAGATTGATGCCAGTTATTCAAGAGGTGACTCATGATGATCAAGCGGGATTTATAGAGGGCAGATACATGAAGGACAATGTAAGGCAAGTTATAGATTTATTGGAATATCTTGAGAAGAATAAACAGATCCCTGCAGTGCTGGTTTTCTTGGATGCGGAGAAGGCCTTTGATAGAGTGGACTGGAATTTTCTATTAAAGACTTTAAAAAAGATGGACTTTGGGGATCAATTTATACAGGCGGTTTCAGCAATTTATCAAGAGCAAAAGGCACAGATTATTATTAATGGAAGTTTGACAACAGACTTTAATATTGAAAAAGGAACAAGACAAGGTTGTCCGTTATCCCCATTGTTATTTATTTTAACACTAGAAGTCTTGTTGAATACAATACAGGACTCGAATATCTTGAAAGGTATAGTGATAAGGCAAGAGGATTACAGAATAAGGGCATTTGCAGATGATATGGTTGTTACCCTAACACAGCCGATGGAATCAATAATCCAGATGAAAGACATTATAAAAGACTATGGTACAGTATCAGGATTTAGACTGAACCAGAAAAAAACTAAGATGATAGCTAAAAATATGACACAAGATCGAAAACACGAACTTGAAAGGAGGGCAGGTTTTGAGATTGTACCAAAGGTTAAATATCTAGGAGTTCAGGTTGCAGAATCAAATATGAAATTGTTTCAAAATAATTATGAGGTGTTGTGGCGAAATATACAGAAAGATATGGAGACTTGGAAAAAACTGCAGCTGTTTTTACTTGGAAGAATAGCAGCAGTTAAGATGAACATTTTGCCAAGATTTCTTTTTTTGTTTCAAATGATTCCGGTGCTTAAAAGTGATAAACACTTGAAAGAATGGCAAACTGGATTGAATAAATTTGTCTGGAACGAGAAAAAACCGAGAGTGAAATTGAAAATTATGCAAGATGTTCCAGAAAGGGGAGGTCTTAAACTTCCAAACCTACAATTATATTATGAAACAGCAGCTCTGACTCAAGCAAGTGATTGGTTTGGAAGGAAAAAGACTGGAATATTGAATATAGAAAGTTTTGATCTTGAATTTGGTTGGCATGCTTACTTATTTTATGAAAACAAAGTGGATAAAGTATTTAAAAGCCATATACTTAGAGACTCCTTGATGAGAGTTTGGAAGAAGCACCGATTTAAATGGGATTACAAAATACCGCTATGGCTGGATCTTGGTCATATCATGTGGAATACAAATATAATGTCACTCGGGGGGGGGGGTTATATAAAGAAGTTCTTTTTACAGATGCGGGCAGATGGCAACTGAAGACATTAGAGACACTGTTGGACGAAGGGATTAATCTAACTTGGTTACAGTATAACCAACTTCAACTGAGATGGAAAGAGGACCAAAAAATTGGTATTATGTTGCATGAGGAAGAATTGGTTAGACATATAAAAGAGAAAGGTCCAATGCATATTAAAAGGCTTTATAATGTTTTGTTAGAAAGGGATTCGGAAACTGAGCTGGTTAAAGATTGCATGATTAAGTGGGCACAAAATTTTGCAGAACCAGTGATGTTGGAAACATGGGAAAAAATTTGGGTTCAGAATGTTAAATTCACACAGTCGCAGAATCTGAGGGAAAATTTTTATAAAATGTTTTATAGATGGCATTTAGACCCTAAGAAATTGTCATGCATGTACCCTAATGTTCAACCAAAGTGTTGGAGATGTGACTGCTTAGATGCTACATATTATCATATCTGGTGGACTTGTAAGAAAGTGAAGGCTTTTTGGATAAAAATTTGGTGGGTTATGCAGAATGTTTTAAAGAAAAAAATTCAGTTTTCTCTACAATTGTTTTTATTGGGTATAGTTAAGGGTTTTACATTGGGTGAAACAAAGTTGATATTGTATATGATAACAGCAGCAAGATTACTGATAGGTCATTATTGGAAAAACGAAGCTGTGCCCACCATTGAGGAATGGACTTTGAAGATGGCCAGCTTTGCAGAGATGGCGAAGATTTCAGCATATCTAAAAGATCACTCACAAGAGATTTATGAATGGGAGTGGAAAAAGTGGATAGACTATGTGCAGAATAAATATCAAACTAGGAAGTATCAGATAGCTTTTAACTGAAAATGTTATATAAAGATAGAAAGATTTGATTTTTGTGAAGATGAAAAATTATATTGGGGATGGAGGGGTTCAAGTTTTATAAAAAGGGGATTTTGATTGGATTATATTCTGTGGAAGTCTGGGGGGAGGGGTAAGTCAGGGGGGGTTAGGGAGGGTTAGGGTGGTTAGGGAGGTTAGGGAGGGTTGGGGGGGGAAATGGGGAGAAAATGTAATTGTAAAACTTTTGCAATAAAAAAAAAAAGATGAATCCAGTGTTTCATTCTTCCGTAAGTGAGCTTCTTAAAAGTTTAGCTTTTCACTGTTCCACAGGCAAACTTATTAAAAAAGAAAAACCACCATGGAGAGCAGCAACTAGTGACTGCAAAGAAAGGTGAATTCTGGGAGTTGAAGTCCACAAGTCTTAAAGCTGCCAAGTTTGAAGACCTCTGTCCTATACTGTGATATTTGCTGCATGGTAAAGGGTGGCTCCCAATGTATCAGCCCCTCCCATTCTGATCTTCCCCTTCCACAGTTCCTTTCACCTCTGCCGAGCCCGGCTCACTCCTTCCATCTCAACCACGTCTATGGTCTCTCTCAGGCCTGCCGTGTCGCTCAGCACCACAGGGAAGCCGCCAATGTTCAGGGCAGTCTCTACCACATCTCGTGTGGTCCCTGCCACCGGAGAGACTATAGCAGTTGGCTTTTGACCTAGAGAGAAAAGGTTGGATCAGTCAAGAAGGGGAAGAAAGACAGTGGGTGAATTCACACAATATGCTTAGCTTAGTGTAGTTACAAAATTAACACACTTGCTCAGTTCATGCGACACAATGAACGGCCCTTTCTTGATCGGGATTCCCTGTGCACAGTCACTCATGCCCTCGTGACCTCTTGCCTTGATTACTGTAATGCTCTCTACATGGGGCTCCCCTTGAAGAGCACCCGGAGGCTCCAACTGGTCCAGAACGCAGCAGCGCGGGTAGTGACGGGAGCAGCATGGCGCTCCCATGTAACACCGCTCCTGCGCGAGCTGCACTGGCTCCCAGTGGTCTTCCGGGTGCGCTTCAAGGTGTTGGTTATCACCTTTAAAGCGCTCCATGGCATAGGGCCTAGCTATCTCCGAGACCGCCTGCTGCCACCGACGACCTCCCATCGACCCGTGCGCTCCCACAGAGAGGGCCTCCTCGGGGTGCCATCAGCCAAACAATGCAGGCTGGTGACCCCCAGGGGGAGGGCCTTCTCTGTGGGGGCTCCCACCCTCTGGAATCAGTTGCCCCCGGAGATAAGGAGAATCCATGACCTCAGTGCCTTCCACCGTGCCCTTAAAACCTTCCTTTTCCAACAAGCCGGGCTGGCCTAATTCTTTTTAAGTGTTTTTAATTGTTTTGTTTATTGTTTTAATTAATGGGGCCAAATTTATATATATATTTTAATTGTATTTTAATATTTGTATTTGATGTTTTTATTTGGCTGTTCACCGCCCTGAGTCCTCAGGGAGAAGGGCGGTATACAAATTCAAAAATAAATAAATAAAATAAAATAAATAATCCATGGATCTCCAAACTTGAGAAGTTTAAGACTTGTGGACTTCAATTCTAGAATTCCTCAGCCAGCCATGCTGGTTAGGAAATTTGGGGAGCTGAAGTTCACAAGTCTTAAAGTTGCCAACTTTGGAGACCAATTGTCCGGATACACCAACATTCTAAGCCAATACCTGAAACACAAGATAAAAAAGGTTTTCTTTAGAGATCCAGTGATATAGCAGTGTAACAATGTTGAACCAGGTCCAGCAAGATCCAGGTCTAATCCACCCTCATCTACCAAAATTCATTGGGTGATTGTATGCCAGTCAGTTTCTCTCAGCCCAACTTCTGTCCCAAGATTGCAATCAGAAAAATTGGAGGAAGAGGCTATGGTACCCCCTTAAACAAACTCCTAAAGAATGATATAATTCTAAGGAACAAATACATTCACTTAAGTGCAGCATCTTGTCTGAGGCTGCTAAGTTTTAGCTATCTTGGTTAGGTTACATAAACTAATCCAAGCCCTAAGTGTAGACTCTAAATTCCCAAAACCCCTGTGGAGACTTTATATGTGATTGTTGGAAATAAATACCGTATTATTCTGATTTGTTTTGCAGCATGCTCATTTCCTTCTAGATAGTTTTTTTTTTTTAATTTAAAATAACATTGGGGAAAAGATAAGCTGTGAGGGAATATCCATGTATTGGGAATCCCAGCCATTAAGAGTTTCCTGAACCATAAGTGGTTGTCATAACATTAAAAAGTCCAATATAGCTAGAATCTCCCTTAAAGCCAATAAACAAACATTTTTGTGAAGGACACTTTAAAGATGTTTCCAGCATCTGGAAACCACCCTCCCTAAACCAGTTTAAACAAATAAAAGCGAACTCTCCTTGACTGTTTACAGAATAACACAAAGTGAATTAAATGAGTCTCTGCAAAAGGGCAAGAAGGAACAACAGGGAAAGGTTGTTAACGCGCCTTGGGTGAAAATGCATTTGCTTTGCATATTATTGGTTTGTTCGTGGTTTGGTAAATATTCTCATAGCGTAGTCATGTTGACCTTTAATATTCTGTCCAAATGAACCTTCCTCTGACGTGCAGTGGAGAGGATTTCAGTTCCTTAAAAAATATCTTTCCTGTCTGACAGCTTGCCTTTACCTGCCTAGGATTTTTAATAATTCACTAGACCAGCTTTGCTTTGCTGGCTGAGGAATTCTGGGAGTTGAAGTCCGCCAGGCTTAAAGTTGCCAAGGTTGGAGGCCCCTGAACTAGACAACCAATGATCCATTGGCTCGTCCTTTGTCAATATTTATTTATCTAAAGAGATAAACACAGGCAAATGACTTTCAGTTTCCTTCCAGTTTCTCCAATGACTTTGCTTGTGGTAAGCAGGCAGAGAGTGTCACCTGACTGCGACAGCATTGCAGTGGCCACAAGTTTGCAAATATAATTGGTGGCCTGAAGAGTCTTAAAATTTTAATTCCGTAGAAGTAATGGGTCCTGGATTTGTACATATTCTTTAAGTTAGCATACTTGGGATACTCTGATTCAGAAATTGCTGCTGTATGATCCACTATTTTGGCTAGTCGAATGTTACAAATAGACAGCAGTTTGGGTAATACCGTGTTTCCCTGAAAATAAGACCCTGTCTTATATTTTTTTGAACCCCGAAATAAGTGCTTGGCTTTATTTTCGGGGAGGTCTTATTATTTTGGGGCGTCTTACCTGATTTCTAGCTCTGTGTTTAAATATCTTTGGGGAGAGCTTATTTTCGTGGGAAGGCTTATTTTAGAGCATGCGCTCAAAAGCCCGATTGGGCTTATTATCAGGGGATGTCTTATTTTTGGGGAAACAGGGTATATAAATTGTATTTACCAGTGTAGCTCACCCCATGGGATAGGTTTGAGTGCTATGGCCATTTGCTAGTATATTCCCTTGCAACGTTTACTGATTTGGGACATTTACGCGGTTGAGAAAGTTAAGAGTCCTGTAGTTTCTCTTTCTAACCTAAGACTAGAAGAACAGTAAAGCAGCTCACTCCATCTAAAAAATAGCCCAGCTGGCAGGATGCAGTGTTTTTCACCCTTTATCACTCTTAAATGTGTGGATGTCAACTATCAAAATTCTCTGGGCTGGAGGACCCCCAAGATTTCCACCTGATATTCCTTTTCTATTCCACCAGCCTATCAGCCAGACTATTTTTGGACAGAGGTTTGTCTGTCTTGCAGAAGACTAATAGATGGGTTGACCATTTTCCTTGTGGCTTGGGCTTTCAGAAGAACCGTAGACCGGTGTTCGGAAACAGTTGTCAGAGATGAGTACCAATAAAGGAGAACATTATAAAGGAGAACATTTGTAGCTCAGGGATGAATTGAGGGGTCTTTTGATGCTCCCTGAGCTTAGTTGTTTTCTTGTATACTAGCACTGAAGATGTTACTTTGGGTAATGAAATGTCTACAAGAAAATAACTAAACTCAGAGAGCACCAAGGAACTTTCAAAGAGCTGAGTAGCTCAAAGAATAAAAGTCAGTGTATGAAGCAGGCTGTACCTGTAATGGAAGCAAGAATGGTTTGTAAAAGTAGAAAGGAATGAAAATATATAGAATATATAGAATAACAGAGTCAGAAGGGACCGTGAAGGTCTTCTAGTCCAACTCCCTGCTCCAGCAGGAAAGCCTATACCATTTCAGACAAATGGTTGTCCAATCTCTTCTTAAAAACGTCCAGTGTTGGGGCATTCACAAGTCCTGGAGGTAAGTTATCCTCCTGATTAATTGTTCTAATTGTCAGGAAATTTCTCCTTAGTTCTAGGTTGCTTCTCTCCTTGATTAGTTTCCACCCATTGTTTCTTGTCCTGCTTTCTGGTGCTTTGGAGAATAGCTTGACTCCCTCTTCTTTGTGGCAGCCCCTGAGATATTGGAAGACTGCTATCATGTCTCCCCTAGTCCTTCTTTTCATTAAACTAGACATTCTCAATTCCTGCAATCGTTCTTTATGTTTCAGCCTCCAGTCCTCTAATCTTCTTTGTTGCTCTTCTATGCACTTTTTCTAGAGTCTCAACATCTCAGAGAAATACTGTGAATGGTATCAGTGTAAAATGCCTTTAATTAGATGTCCTTTTCTTTTTCTTATTTCATGCTTTAAAAAAAAAATTTTTTTTTGCTTATAATTTCTTATTCTTTTTTAATAGTTTTGTGTAACATTGCTAATGTTATCTTAGGATTGCTCTTTGTTACTCCAAGGACAGTAGTGTTTTTAAAGTGGACTTCCTTGTTGTTGTTTTATTTCCTTGAATTGTTTCAGAACAAATCGTAGTATTGTTAATAGTCTTAACAATATTATTTTCCTGGGGGAATCTTTTACATGCTCTATTATTAAACAAAATTAACAGATCGGGGAAAGGACCCTGAACTTTTCACTACAACAGAAGACATACAGTATATACAAAGATACAGATTTGAGTATTTAGAATTTCATGCGTTGTTGAGAAGGGAAAGGGTATTCAAACAAAACTGCAGCCGTGATACGCAATTCTGTCAGTGTTACATCAATTAAAAAGTGTAGTATGCTGTTTCTGAAAAACTGGATTTTGATTGTTTTTCAATGCCAAAAGGGTGTTATGGGATAATTCAGGAATTAAAATTGATTTTAAAAATGACGATTAGGAAGATTTAGATAGATGTTGTGTTTGTTACTTTAGACCATGATATGGAATTTTTTTTATTATTATGGTTGGTCACATAGAGCAGGGCTGTCAAACTCCTGGCCTGTGGGCCGGATGGGTCACGCACTGGCCATGCCCACGCCCGGTTTAGTGAAGAAGAAAAAAGTCCTGATATGCCACGTGATGCCACCGTGATGCCATAAGTTTGACATCTCTGACATTAGATAGTCAGATGTTTAGACAGGATTGGGCATTTTTTTCCACCTATCGAGTCTTTCTGAAGGACCTGGGATGGGCAGCTGTTGTTGTTTAATGGTGTTAAAAGTACTGTTGTAGGATGTAAGTTGTTCCAAGTAAAGCTGCCCTTTGCAATGGACCAATGGGGATTTTTGTCACTGCCAATGGTGTTCAAATGGTGCCCCAGTTGTTTTAGAATTGCACCCAAGGTGTCTATTACTATTGGTACTATCTTTGCTTTCTTCTGCCACAATCGTTCTATTTGCAGGACTTTGTATTTTGTGATTTTTCTCTCTTTCTTTCTTTCTTTCTTTCTTTCTTTCTTTCTTTCTTTCTTTCTTTATCATTCATTCATTCATTCATTCATTCATTCTACTGTTTCAATTTGTTCTGTTAATTAATTTATTTATTTCTTATACTTATATGCCGCCCTTCTCCCAAAGGACTCGGGGCGGCTCACAGGAATTAAAACAATAAAAACAATAAAAATAGCTACTAAAATAATCAATTAAAATCTCCCAATTAAAAATCACCCATCAGATCAGCAAATTTGTTGGAAAAGTTAATGAAATAATGGCAAAATTAAAACATGATCACGGCCTTCAGAGAGCTCATGCAGTAAGTATTCCTTTGTGTTGATGGTCTCAGATTTGTTGTTCAGGGTTTTGAGAAGGTTTCTCTGAAAAGGTGATTGATGAACCTTTCGGCAAAATCCTGAAAGATTCCTGCCTTCATCCCTTGACTACTCTCTGACTACCCACCCACCGATTCCACCATTTCACATGCCCCCCGGTGCTACTCACACAACTGGTTGAGAAGGCTGCTCTTCCCAGCATTAGCAGGTCCTGCAATGACTACGTGGACCCCATCCCTCAGCCTCTGCCCGCGGCGACCATCTTGTAAATGCTCCGTCAGTTCCTTCTCCAATTCCTTGACAGCGTTTTCCACTATGGGGAAAAAAAGACCATCATGGTGGATGCGTTGACCATCCCTTCCTCCATCCTTGACTTCTTTCCCTCCTTGCCACTGTTTTGGAGAACTAGGATCTTGCAAGAAATCCTCTGGAGCTCGTGTCTATGGAGATTCTCCATCATCCAGGTCATGGTTATCCCAAAGGTGCTTTTCAAAAATCAACTGGACTTCCTTGGTTTTTCTGTTTTCTCCCTTGAAGACATTTCACTTTTCATCCAAGGAGCTTCTTCAGTTCTGGCTGAATGGTGGGGAATTCCCTATCCTTCAGCCAGAACTGAAGAAGCTTCTTGGATGAGAAGTAAAATGCCTTCAAGGAAAAAAAAAACAAGGAAGTCTAGTTAGTTGCCTTTTCAAAAAAACTTTTGGGATTTCCTGGAGCGTGTTCACCAAAAGGCAGCTTGGCCTCAGTGAGTTTCTAACAGTGATTTCCAAAGAAAAAGAAAAGAACAAATGCAGGGGTGGTAGCAGGTATGTGCAAGGAGTGATTAAAAAACTCAAGGGGATTGCCACAACTGAGTTACTGAAACTCTGGTTGCTTTTTATGTGTGTCACGTAAATATCATGTTTTCCCAAAAATAACACCCTGTCTTATATTTTTTTGAACCGTGAAATAAGCACTTGGCCTTATTGCCATGCGCTCAAAAGCCTGATTTGGCTTATTATCAGGGGATGTCTTATTTTGGGGAAAACAGGGTAGATGCTGCTTGGATTGTGCCGCTGTGGCTGAAATCTTGCCGTTTTTGACCACACCCTGAGGACACATACACACAAACACACCCGAGCAGAAGGAAGACCCACCTTGAGCAAGGACATCGTCCTCAATATTGTCATCTTCACTGAAGTCAATGTAGGCCTCCAGGTGAGCCAGGGTCTGCAGAAGAAAAGGACTCAGAGCTATTTTTCTTCAGGGGAAAAAGAGGAGGAGGGGGAGAAGGCTGCAGAGAAAGGATGTTTAAATATTTATGGAATATTTGATGACTGTTCCATATAAATGAGTAATAGTCTAATCTAATAAATGAGTCTGATAGTGCTTTTTCTGACGGGCTAATTCTATTAAAAGGCATAAAGTTTTATGAACTGATATGACCTCCTACATCAGCTTAGTCACACAATGCATGAAGTGAGTAGCAGCACCTAAGGTTGGAGAGGACGTTGAACGTCTCCTAGTCCAACCCTCTGCCCAAGGCAGGAATCCTTATATCATCATGGAAAAATAGTTATCCACTTTTTTCTTGAAAACCTCTTACGATGGAGCCCTCTCAACTCCGGGAGACAAGCTGCTCCACTGATTAATTGTACTAACTGTCAGGAAATTCCTCCTTAGTTCTAGGTTGCTTCTCTCCTTGATTAGTTTCCACTCATTGCTTCTTGACTTGCCCTCAGGTGCTTTGAAAAATTATGTCAGCCCCTTAGATATTGGAACACTACTACCATGCCACCCCTAGTTCTTCTTTTCAACAGATTGGGTATGTCTACCCAATTCCAGCAACCGTTCTTTAAATGTTTTAGCCTCCGGTCCCATAATCATCTTTGTTGCTCTTCTCTGCACTCTTCCTAAAGCCGTGATGGCAAACCTATGGCACGCGGAGCCATATCAGTGGGCACGCGAGCACAGCTCTGCCAGCTGATTTTCGGGCCTTCCGGGCCCACTGGAAGTTGGCAAATGGGCTATTCCCAGCCTTTTTGCCCTCCCCAGGCTCCTAGAAAGGCTCTGGAGCCTGGGAAGAGTGAAAAATGGGCCTTCCAGTCCCACCAGAAGTCGGCAAATGAGCCATTTCCAGTCGGAAGGCCTCTGAGGGGGTGGGGAAGGCCGTTTTCGCCCTCCCCAGGCTCCAAGAAAGCCTCTGGAGCCTAGGGAGGGCAAAAAACAGGCGTACCCGGCCCAACATGCCATCACATGCCAAAAGCAGGGGGAGCCTGGGGGGGTCGGGGCACATTGAATTATGGGTGTGGGCACGCAAAATCCATGTCCACCCCTCCCCCGAAAAGAACAAATTTGGACCTTTTGTTTCTGGAGAACTAAAGGTAGTCCTTGACTTACAACAATTCATTTAGTGACTGTTCAAAGTTAAGACGGCACTGAAAAATGTGACTTATGACAATTTTTCAGAGTTTCGACCTTTGCAACATCCCCATGGTCATGTGATCAAAATTCAGATGCTTGGCAACTGGTTCATATTTATGACGGTTGCCACATCCCAGGGTCATGTGATCACCTTTTGCGACCTTCTGACAAGCAAAGCCAATGGGGAAGCCAGATTCACTTAACAACCAGGTTACTAATTTATCAACTGCAGTGATCCACTTAACAACTGTGGCAAGAAAGGTCATAAAATGGGGCAAAACTCATTTAACAAATGTCTCACTTAACAACAGAAATTTTGGGCTTAATTGTAGTCGTAAGTCAAAGACTACCTATGTTGTGCAGTGATTTCCATTCCATTTCTGAGCAAAGTTTGCGGAAATGTGGTATCTCAGACAGGCTTGGGCAATGCCAGCTATTGATTGATCTCACTCCTTTCTTCTTAAATACTAACAATAACTTCAACAGAGAATCCAAAATAATATCAAAAACAGAAATTAAAAGCAATGCACAGTTGCCAACAGTTAAAAGCCTGAGGAACTAAAATGTGTTTTTTTGGCTGTCTTTTTAAAGGCAGGCAGAGGGAGAACAAAATGAGAAGATCTTCTCATACTTGCCAGATTTTTTAAAAAAGGCCTGCTCTGCTAATGTTAGCATCTGGACAAGTTCAGATGTTGTAATGGACCAATAGAGCATTTTGGAACATTAAAAACAATTAGACAGGCTGAGAGATTTATGAGGAAGACGTTTGTGTGAACTGAGTACGTGCACTGTGCTATGGTAGTTTGTTTATTCGCAGCTGATTGGGTTTGCATAAGACATTTAACCATAAATGGGGACTAGGACTTCACAGCTAGGAAAGCACCTTCCAGTTTGTTTGTTTGTTTGTTTGTTTGTTTGTTTGTTTGTTTCTTTATACCGACTTTTATTATTTTTACAAATAACTCAGGGCGGTAAATAATATCCAACACACCTTCCTCCTATTTTTCCCACAACAACCCTGTGAGGTAAGTTTGGTTGAGAGAGAGTGACTGGCCCAAAGTCACCCAGCTAGCTGGCTTTCATGCTTAAGGCAGGACTTGAACTCAGGGTCTTCATTTTCTAGCCTGCTGCTTTAACCACCTGTAGCCAAGATTGCCAAACAAAGGCTATCCTACTCTGGCCATGTTATGACTCACTTGAAAAGTCAATCATGCTTATGTCCGGGGGTGAAATCCAGCAGGTTCTGACAGGTTCTGGAGAACAGGTAGCGGAAATTTTAAGTAGTTCGGAGAACCAGCAAATGTCACCTCTGGCTGGCTTCAGAATGGGGTGGGAATGGAGATTTTGCAGTATCCTTCCCCTGGAGTGGGGTGGGAATGGAGATTTTGCAGTATCCTTCCCTGCCCACCAAGCCACACCATGCCCACCAAGCTACACCCACAGAACCGGTAGTAAAAAAAATTGGATTTTACCACTGCTTATGTCCATTGCAGTATCTCTGTGGTCACATGATCAAAATTCAGATTGCTTGGCAACTGGCATGTATTTATGACAGTTGCAGTATCCCAGGATCATTAGATCACAATTGCGACCTTCTGACAAGCAAAGTCAATGGAGAAATCAAATTCATTTAACTAATTTAATGTTACTAATTTAACCACAGCAGTGATTCACTTAACAACTATGGCAATGAAGGTCGTAAAATGGGGGCAAAACTTATTTAACTGTCTTGGTTAGCAATGGAAATTTTGGGCTCAGTTGTGGTCATAAGTCAAGGACTACCTGTATTAATAATCATTTTTGTATTTCTATTTTTACTACATTATAAGCCACCCAGAGGCGCTTTGAATAGCAAGGCGGGCAGCATATAAATTCAATAAACAAATAAACTGAGATGTTCTGGTTTCTAAGACTTCTAAATACACACATACACCCAGCCTTGCTCCTTGCCTTCGTGAGGGTGTCAGTCCAACGCTGATAGAGCTGACCCAATTCCCCGTCCATCTGACGTAAGGCCTGCCGACGCTGCCCTTCCGTCTCAGCATGAATCAGGTCTCCTAGGCCTTCAGCTGCTGTGAGGTCTAGCTTGCCGTTCTGGAAGGCCCGTTTGGTGAATTCTCCGGGTTCAGCAAACCGCAGCTCAGGAAGTGCACCTGAAATCCAGAAGAGACTTTCCACTGGGATCCTTTACTGCTTCCCCAGTAAACCTTCCCTTGTACCTCTAAAAATGGTTGGGAAAGAAGAATTAGCCAATATGTTGAAAGACTCACCCAAAGCATTCAAGACGCCACTCACCACAGCTGGGCCGCCATGCACATGGAACTCAACACTGTCCTCACCTGTGAAACTACCTGGTCCTGAAGAAAAAGAACAAAGTTGGAATTAACTCAATAAATTACAAGGTCCATTCAGTTCCTCAGAGGGAGGCTTCTGCTTCATCCCTTAACAGAGTTCAAGGGAGTTTTTCTGGTGGCTGAAGAAACTTAGAAACTTAGAATCATAGGGCTGGAACGGACCTTGGAAGTCTTCTAATTCAACCTCCTGCCCAAGACAAGAGTCCTTATATCATCCCAGATAAATGGATCTCCAATCTTTTCTTGAAAATCTCCAGCGATGGAGCACCTACAGCTCAGGTTGGCAAGCTGATCCATTCGTTAATCGTTCTGTCAGGAAATTCCTCCTTATTTCCAGGTTGGATCTCTCTCTGAAGAGCTTCCACCCATTGCTTCTTATTCTGCCTTCATGTGGTATGGACCAGGGGTCTCCAACATTGCCAACTTTAAGACTTGTGGACTTCAACTCCAAGGGTTCTCGGAGTTGAAATCCACAAGTCTTAAAGTTGCCAAGGTTGGAGACCCCTGGTATGGAGAATACATCAATGCCCTTTTTCTTGAGACAGCACTTCAGGTATTAGAAGATGGCTAATAATAATAATAATAATAATAATAATAATAATAATAATAATAGCAACAACAACAACAACTTTATTGTCATCGTCACCACCAAAACATCCATACAGCAGACCAAGTGCTGTCCAACAGCTCACTGATGGTGGCCCTTTAGTTCATTGTTGAGTTAAATTATAGCTCTGGGATAAAAACTATTCAGAAAATGTGTGGTCCGAGTTTTAATTGTTCTGTGTCTTCTGCCAGAAGGCAACAGTCCAAAAAGATTGTAAGCAGGATGGGAAGAGTCTCTGAGAATGTTATGCAACTTCCTCAAACAGCGAGATTCGAAGATGTCGTCCAGGGCTGGTAGCTGGAGCCCGATTATATTCTGGGCAGTTTTAATGATTCTCTGTAAAGCTTTTTTGTCCGCTACAGAGCTGCTCCCATATCATGCATGAATGCCGTATGTCAGGACACACTCAATCGTGCTGCGATAGTAGGACAGAAGTAGATGCTGAGATAGATTTGTCATGTCATCCTTAAGACTTCTCTTTGTCAGACTAAACATACCTAGTTCTCTTAATCGTTCGTTGTATGATTTAGCCTCCAGAGCCCTTATTATCTTTGTTGCTCTTCTCTGCACTCTTTTTCTAGGGCCTCAGCATCTTTTTTGTATCATGATACGCACTTCATAAAAGTGTCCGTGATGGGTATTCAAAAATAGACTGTCCTCGATCTGCAAGGTTTAAAGTCTGCAACTTTAGACTATCTTGGCTTAAGTCATTCAGACAGTAATGACCAGACGTGGGCTTCAGATACTGTAACAAAAGGTTCACCCAGCACCGGAAATGTGAACCTGCATGCGCCATACGCGCATGCGTGTGGCGTCACAAAACAGGGCAATTTGCTCACATGCGCTATCCACACATGCGTCCGACATCAAACAACACAGCAATTCGCTCATACGCACCATCTGCACATGCGTGGGGCATCACAAACAACAGTGATATAGGATGGGATTACGCCTGGGCAGGTGGGCGGTCCGGGTGGGCCAACCCGCAGGTCGCTACTACCGCTTCGCCTGAACCGGTCTGGACCAGCTGAATCCCACCATTGGTAATGACACATTCAGATGGATGATGGGACTTTTTAAGTCAGTGATCAAAAACATATCCTCTGGCAATGATTTAACCACATTGGGTAAAAAAAATAATTTCACACATCTTGAATCCATCTCTAAACAATCTGATCAGAAAACACCGACTTCCGATGGTCCCAAAGGTGCTTTTTCAAAAGGCAATTGGACTTTGTTTTTCCTGAAGAAGCTTCTTAAATGAAAAACAAAATGTCTTCAAGGAAAAACAAAGTCCAGTTGCCTTTTGAAAAAGCACCTTTGAGACAGCCATGACCTGGACGACTGAGAATCTCCATAGACACTGATTTCTGATGTTTTAAGAGGAGAAAAATATCTCTCTTTATATTTTCTTCAAACTGGTTTTACCAGCTTAAACTATTTTTCCATTTGTGTTTTCCTTTTCTAAAGATTTGAAGACCTTTCTTGGAAGGAAAGAGATTTCCTTTCTTGCTTGCTTTTGGTTTCTGTTTTGGAGTGTAAATTTGCTCAACCTTCAGATCAATCTCAAAAATTGCTTTCAAAGGCTTAACAGGCTAATCAAAGATAATGAGAGAGCAGGAAATGGGCAATGGAATATGGTACTGTTAGCTGAGGCTGAAGCTGCCATACCTAAGATGAAGCAGGCACATAAGCAGGGTGGACAAAAAGCCAGGAATCTTGTCTAAAAGATCCCTTTGGGAGACAGATAAGAAAGAAATGAGTCATTAAAGGAAACAAAGGAAAATATGTCACCTGAACCAAACAAAGGCCTAAACACATGGGAATCCCTCCTGCCAAGTCCCATCAATTGCTACCAGATTTGCAAATCAACAGGGCAAGACTAACTGCCAGTCTACAATCTACTGTGTATAAACCAGGGGTGAAATGCTCCCGGTTCGAACCAGATCGCCCGATCCGGTAGCAATGGAAGCGGGTGGTTCAGAGAACCGGTAGCAAAAATCCCCCCCCCCAATGTCCAGCTGAGCTGCACAACCATCAGAGGCTTTTTTTTTTACTTTTAAAAGTATTTTTTCTACAACTACGGCCGAAAAAATGCTTTTAAAAGTAAAAAAAAAAGCCTCTGATGATCACGCGGCTCGTCAAAGGCATTTAAAAGAAAAAAACCCTTTTACTGGCCGGATGCCCTTCCTGACACCTACACAAAGTTTGCAGCAGATTTTTTTTTTAATTTGATTTATATGCCGCCCTTCTCCAGAGACTCAGGGCGGCTTACAATGCGTTAAGCAATAGCCTTCATACTTTTGTATATTTTTACAAAGTCAGCTTATTGCCCTCACAAACTGGGTCCTCAATTTACCTACCTTAGAAAGGATGGAAGGCTGAGTCGACCTTGAGCCTGGCAAGATTCGAACTTACTAATTGCAGACAGCTGGAGTTAAATTTTCTCTTTGTACCCTGAGAGAGAAACATCTGCTCACTACCTAGGATTGAGCTCTCAACCTTCCGAATGGGAGGCAAGCATCTTCACCACTAGGCTACCATGCTGCTCCAGCCAATACCTTAATTGGACTATAGCAATTAAGGTATTGGTCTACACGCAGCTGCCCTTGAAGAACCTCTGGAAGCTTACAGTGATTCAGCATGCAGTGGCCAGGCAGTGATGAACATGTTTCGCTTGACTCCTCTACATTTGGAACTGCATTAGCTGCTGATCAGTTTCCAAGTGCAGTTCAAGACACTAAATTTCTTACTTGTAAAGCCCTGCATGGCTTACGACCTGCTTATGCTGCAGATCACCTGCTCCAAAATGAATTTCTCCATCGAGATTTGGAAAGACACACTCTCTCTCTTTCTCTCTCTCCCTCCCTCCTCCCCTTTCTCTCTCGGATTGTGTCATTGTGGTTTTTTGTTGGTCTGTTATTTTAATCCTTATTTTTGCTGCAGATTGCTCCAGAACCATCTGGAGTGGAGTAGCATAGAAATATCAATAGTACAAATAAATAAACAGAATGAAATCTATGCATTTCAAAGGGCACCAATTGCACCAGTGGATATTAGAAATCACGGGATATAAATAACAATTGAAACCAGAATATTATCTATTAAATATTACGCCAGATAAGATAGGCACGAATATATGGTGTCTGATTACATATATCACAACCGCAGCAAGAATATGTTTTGCTCAACATTGGAAGGGGAAAGACCTACCGGTTGAAGATTTGATTCTGGGAAAAATTATCGAATATGCGGAAGCTGACAGGTTAACAAAAATTCTGAGAGATCAAAAGGATTCCGTATATTTTCAATGTTGGGACCAATGGTATATCTGGTTGAGTAATAGAATAAAAAAAGGATAAGGATAGTGTAGATTTTATTTTTTATTTGTATATCTTGACTGAAGTTAATATACTGTGTAAAGCTCCCGTCCTGATCTGTGTGTGAATAAATATTTTTGTGGTAAAGAAATAAATAAAAAAAATTTTTTTTTAAAAAAAAGGGCACCAATGAAAATGATCACCCCACAGAATTTCAGTCCCAGACTGAGCTGGGACCAAAAGGAATGCTACTTATTCCTTTATTGTGGCAGGTAATTTGCTCTGTTTTGTAGATTGCTGGGTCCTTGGTGTTCTTTGAGCTTGGGTGGCCTTCTGCAGACGTTTCATTACTAGGCTCAATGATATCATCACTCTTCCATGCCCTGATAATCTAACCTAGTAATGAAATGTCTGCAGAAAAACAACCAAGTTCAGAGAACACCAAAAAAACCTCAATCGTTCATCCCTGAACTATGTAGAGTCTATACAACTGGAATCTGTACTTCTTGTTGTTCAGTCTGAAAAACAACCTCCTTCCAGTCTAATTAGATGTGACATCTTTCATGTGGTAGCCTCATGTAGAAGGTCTTTCTCCGTTTCATGTTTTCCCTCAAGGGGGGATCATGCTGCATTAACTGGTTGCTTCAACTGAACTTGGTAGTAAGCACTAATTTTCCTCAGAACCATCATGGCATGTACCTTCTTCCTCCGTAGATTAAAACCCCATCTGAATGTTTGATTCCTGTGACAATTTGGGGCAGTGGTGAAATCCAATTTTTTTACTACCTGTTCTGTGGGCGTGGCTTGGTGGGCATGGTGTGGCTTGGTGGGTGTGGTTTGGTGGGCATGGCAGGGGAAGGATACGGCAAAATCTCCATTCCCACCCCACTCCAGGGAAAAGATACTGCAAAATCCCCATTCTCTCCCCACTCCTGGGGGAAGGATACTGCAAAATCTCCATTCCCTCCCCCCTCCAGGGAAAGGATACTGCAAAATCTCCCTTCCCTCCCCACTCCTGGGGGAAGGATATTGCAAAAGCTCCATTCCCACCCCACTCCAGAGAAATACTACAAAATCCCCATTCCCTCTCCATTCCTGGGGGAAGGATATTGCAAAATCTTCATTCCCACCCCACTCTGGGGCCAGCCAAAGGTGGTATTTGCCAGTTCTCCGAACTACTCAAAATTTCTGCTACCAATTCTCCAGAACCTGCTGGATTTCACCCCTGATTTAGGGCAAGAATTCAAAAATTATTACCCTATGGGAACACAGCTGAGCATAAACAGCAAACAAAAAAGTGCTTATTAGAAATAACAAAGCTAATGAGAGCATAACATCACTGCAGAACCTGTCAGAGAAGGTGTGGCTCTAAAAACAATTTTTTAAATATAAGAGATATGCTGCTCTGAAGGATTTGGGGGATTGTTTAATACAAACAGTTAGAACCAAGGAGGGATTTATTTTTTTTTTGCATATCCCAGAGGTCATCCTAAAAACGACCCTATTCTATATAAATGGCATTATTCCACCTGAAGCATTTTAAGGAAATGTGAAAAGTTGAATATTTGGACCTAAAAAGCCATTTATAGAAGACCTCTACCAGCTTGACGGCTGGTCCTGCCTGCAGAAGATAAGAACTGAATTGCTTATTTAAGACCAGGAAAGGCTCCACAATGATTCAATTCCTGTGTTAATTAAAAGTAATTCAACTCGGTGGGCACCAATTTTGGCTTCACTGTTTATATTTATGGATAAATATGCCTGTATGCCTATTTACTTGTAATGATAATTCCCATCTTTACAAAAGGGAATTCAACAAATTACAGACTCATCGGTTTGCTTAATTAACTGCAAATGTGATGCAATGTCAGACGTCTGTGTGTGTGTGTGTGTGTGTGTGTGTGTGTGTGTGTGTGTGTGTTTGAGTGACTGAGAAGTGGAGAGATTGATTGGAACAGGAGAGCCTCCTGGTGGAAGAACAAGCTGGCTTCCAAGAGGATTATTCTACTATTAATCAACATCTAATGCTCTAATACAGGGATGGCGAACCTTTTTGAAACCGAGTGTCCAAACTGGAACGTGTGCCGGAGCTCCGGAAATTCGAAGACCAGCTGGCTGGCCTGCATGCACGTGCCAGAAACCGTAAGACCAGGTGGCCAGTGCGCATGCGCACGCCAGCCAGCTGGTCTTTGAGTTTCCGGGGCTCTGGCGCACATGAAGACTAGCTGGCAGAAGACCAGGTGGCAGGGGCACACATGCGCACCCTGGCCACATGGTCTTCTGATTTTCAGCGCATGCATGCATGCAGGCCGGCCAGCTGGTGTTTGTGAGTGCCGGAGCCCCGTAAAATCGAAGACCAGCTGGCCGGCACGTGCATGCACATCAACTATCTGGTGTTCTGGTTTCCAGCGAGCAGAGGCAGGCTGGTCAGCTGGTATTTATGCGCACCGGAGATCAGCTGGCTGGTGTGCATGCGTGCTGGAAACCAGAAGATCAGCTGGCAATGGCGCACATGCCCACAGAGAGGGCTTTGCATGCCACCTCTGGTACGCGTGCCATAGGTTCGCCATCACGGCTCTAATACTTAATAGAGACATATTGATCATTAGTAGATAGTGAATTTTTTAAATCAACAGAGGGGAATTAATTTCTCTTACCATAATGTAGCTGAAGTAGAATTCCCATATTTCTCATGTATTTGTTTCAATGCCTGATCTACTTTGAAGGACCCTTTCTGGATCGGGACGCCTTGTGCACAGTCACTCACGCCTTCGTCACTTCCTATCTGGACTATTGTAACACTCTCTACATGGGGCTCCCCTTGAGGAGCACCCGGAGGCTCCAACTGGTCCAGAATGCGGCCGTGCGAGTAATAATGGGGGCGATCCGTCGCTCCCACGTAACACCTCTCTTGCACGAGCTGCACTGGCTCCCGGTGGTCTTCCGGGTACGCTTCAAGGTGTTGGTTACCACCTTTAAAGCGCTCCATGGCTTAGGACCTGGCTATCTACAAGACCGCATTCTGCCACCGATTGCCTCCCACCGACCGGTACGCTCACACAGAAAGGGCCTCCTCAGGGTGCCGTCAGCCAAACAATGTAGACTGGCGACCCCCAGGGGGAGAGCCTTCTCTGTGTGGGGGGGGGCTGCCCTCTGGAATGAATTGCCCCTGGACATACGAAGGATCCCCGACCTCCGCGCCTTCCGTCATGCAGTGAAGACCCTATTATTCCAGCAAGCCACTCTGATGGGATAAATGGTTTTAATTTGGTTTTAATGGCGTTTTAAAATTGGTTTTAAATGAGAGTTTTAAATTGGGCCTATGATTTAATTATTTTAATCTGCTTTTAAATTCTATTTTGTACACTGTTTTATTATGGCTGTTCACCGCCCTGAGTCCTTCGGGAGAAGGGCGGTATATAAACAAATAAATAAATAAATAAATATAGTGCTGAAAGCCTAATAGCATTCTCTTTTCTTCACTTTTATACTACTGAGCATCAAAGTACGGCAATCTTAAACTTCTTACTCTCCTGTTTTCCCACATCAAGCTCACGTTTTGCTAATAGTTTCCATGTATTTTCATAGTCCTCTATATTTTGATAGGTCCAGCCTTCACTGATTATAACAACTTACAGTAACTCCATAACATACAGGTAGTTCTCGAATTATTAGCACAGTTGAACCCAAAATTTCCCTCTCTTTGATCCTTCCAATAAATATCCAAAATCTAATGCTTTCACATTAGAACTCTGACCTTTTCATTGGGAGGGGGGGAGGTGCAATTATTTTATCACAGTAACAGAGTTGGAAGGGACCTTGGAGGTCATCTAATCCAACCCCCTGCACACACAGGAGACCTATACTAGGGATTCGAACCGCCGAACTGCCAACCTTTCTGATCGACAAGCTCAGCGTCTTAGCCACTGAGCCACCTAGCCAGGCTTCTATTCAGTTGAGAAGGACATTGATAAGACATCAGAGAATTATGTACTTGATAAACTTTAAGGTTGGACAAAAATCAATACAACAGATATGCTTAGCTACTTTAATATTCTAACCTGGGAACCATAGTACAAGGCCTCGGTCCAGGATTTCAGAAGAGCTGGGATCACAGATCCTACGTAAAGTAGCTGTTCTTGGAGGTGGTGGGTTCTTTGTCCCGGTCATGCAGAGCAAGGCTGAACAGCTAGCTGGGCCACTGGTTCGAATCACAGCCACTCCACATTTTCCTTGGCCAGAAGACAAGGCAAAGATGGTGTCCCTCTTTGCAGGTTGGCAATATAACCTGAAAAACAGGAAAGGAAAAAGGAGAGCCAGTTTGGCCTAGTGGTTAAGGCATTAGGCTAGAAAACAAGAGACCATGAGCATATTTATTTATTTATTTCATGTATTTATATGCCGCCCTTCTCCAGAAGGACTCAGGGCAGCGAACACAAGTTAAAAACATGTACAACAAAATCCCATTTTAAACCAAATTAACTAATAAATAATAAATAATAAAACCCAGAATCAAAGTCAGCCTATTTGCTTGAACAGCAAATATCACCATGGTTAGTGCATTTCTTTCGATGCTGACAAACATGTCATCCACGTAGCAGCCCAAAAGAAGGACATAAATCATGAAGTTACTCCAATACTGTCAATGTACTTTCTTCACATTCAAAAGAGAAATGTACGAACAAATAAAAGGGACGCCCATGGGATCAATCCAGAGCTCTGTTATCGGCTACAGAGGCCTTCAGGAAAGCCTTGCAGGCTGCAGAAAAAATTGGCCGACATGTGCGAAGTCTGGCTGCAACTATCCAAAAGTAGGTAGTAGGGCAGCTCCAGCCCCCCATGCCCAACCTAGCTTAATTTTTACCCATGCACCCTGGAGTGGGTGGGGTCTTAATTATGGCTTATTTTGGGAGTAGGGCTTATATTGGGCGCGCGTGTAAAAATCAAGCTAGGACTTACTTTCTGAGTAGGTCGTATTTTGGGGGAAACACAGTAGAACACTGTACATTTCAAGACTACACACTTCAATTTTGGTGCCGCTTCGTGGATGACACATTTGTCATCATCAGACGAAATGCACTGAAAGACTTTCGTACCCTACTGAACTCCATCTTCCCAGATATACAGTTCACAATGGAGGAAGAAATGGCCATTTTTAGATGTGCTTGTCACCATACAGGAAGACGGAAGCCTAGAAACCACGGTTTATCAAAAGGCCATCAACACCCCAGGCATTCCGAGTTTCAAGAGTAACCATCTACTGTCACACACAAAAGTTGTGTGGCAGCGTGAGAACCCACTGTAGTGCCCAGCAAGCTAAACAACTGGAAAGCTGATACCTATGTGAACAATTCAGGCAGAATGGGTATCCACAATAACATCCATTACAAGATGTCTGCGCAACACACGGGAGAGAGAAAGGAAGGAAGAAGATAGACTGTGACTCTACTTTTCTGCAAGGAGTTCCAGAGAAGCATATATTATTTATCCTCACTGCTCTCTTGGGTGAGAAGTTAAGAGTAAAAGTATGTCTAGACTACGTATTATGGGCACTCATCAATTTTGTATATATAGGGTTGCCCTGTCCACTCCATGGAGTTCTTGAATCTTTAAGAACGAGAAAGCTGGCCAACAGAGAAAGTGAAATATGCTCCTGAAGCTGTTATAATTTATAGAGGCAACTTTCTCTTCCGTTGGATTCCTGTCTTCTATTGCAATTGTTACAAAGGACTGACTCTTTTAGAAAAGAAGGCAACAGTGAAGCAGGCAGAATTCCACATTTGCATCCAGTTTTGGTCACCACCATATAAAAAAGATGTTGAGACTCTGAAGGAGTGCAGAGAAGAGCAACAAAGATGATTAGGAGCCTGGAGGCCAAAATATATGAAGAACAGTTGTAAGAATCAGGTATATCTAGTAGTTTAATGAAAAGAAGGACCAGGAGTGACATGACAAGAGTGTTCCAATATCTGAGGGGCTGCCACAAAAAAAGGGAGTCAACCTATACTCCAAAGCACCTGAGGGCAGGACAAGAATCAATGGATGGAAACTAATCAAGGATAGAACCGACCTAGAACTAAGGAGAAATTTCTGACAGTTAGAACAATTGATCAGGGGAACAGCTTGCATTCAGAACTTGTGGCTGCTCCATCACTGGAAGTTTTTAAGAAGAGATTGGACAGGATCCAATCTGGGTCGGCCACTGGGACCAGAGGTTTTGTCTTCCAAACTTTCGGACTCATGCTAGAGCCCATCCTCAAGTAACTTCTCTGATAGGAGTCCAAAAGCTCAGAAGACAAAACCTGGTGGTCCCGGTGACCGACCCAGATTGGATCCTGTCCAATCTCTTCTTAAAAACTTCCAGTGATCCTCCAACATTATCCTGGGATATATACATTTCCCTTCGTTCGTCAGAGATTGGACAGCCATTTGTCCAGAATGGTATTTTCCCAGAATTTATTTATTTATTAGTCCAATTTATATGCTGCCCTTCTCCGTAGACTCAGGGCGGCTTACAATGCATTATAGCAATAGCCTGCATATTTTTTTGTATATACCTGCTTATTAGGGCTTTCGGGGGCCCCTAAGCGGTGTTGTTCTATACAAAGTCGGCTTATTGCCCCCACAATCCGGGTCCTCAATTTACCTACCTCGAAAGGATGGAAGGCTGAGTCAACCTTGAGCCTGGTGAGATTCGAACTTGCATTAATTGCAGGCAGCTGGCAGCTAAGTGCTAGCACTTAACAGCACTTTAGTCCGCTGCACCACCTAGGCTCTTGGTATAGGATCATTATGGTATATAGAATGGTATAGGATCTCCTGCTTGTGCAGGGGTTGGACTAGAAGACCTCCAAGGTCCCTTCCACCTCTGTTATTCTAACCCTGGCCGCAGGGAATTGCACACCAAGAAAATCACCTCTTCTCACGTGCCTTTTCCAAAGGCTAAACTTTAGTATTTAGAGCCACCCACCTGCAGAAGAGCTTGCAGACCCTTCGATTTCTTACAGGCAGCAGCCTTCTCTGCAAGAAAAGCCACATCGCTCCCCAGGAGGAATTACAGCAAAATCGACCCTTTTCCCCCCTGCCAATTGTCGTCCCCCGGCTCCATCCTGTCCAGCCTTTCTCCCCTATGTGCAAAATCCCCACGCTTCCTTTGCTACCACGACCCGACGTTCGCTTTCGGCTTCAACTGAGGGCAACGTGCCCTTTTGCAACGTGATTGGTCGAGAGGAAAGGGGGCGGGGCTTCGGAAAGGGCGGGGCGCCACGTTCTCCCTTTTATAGTATTGTACCGTAACTCATAGATTTTATGCGTCCTCGTTGCATTGGGTATCGATTTGTTTCAGTCCGCTTACATAGGTGATAAAGAATACGCATGCAGAGTAGTCTTGCATAATTCCATATAACCTTCAGCTTTTTTTTTTTAAGGCGAGGTTTTTCTTGGGCGGAGTGTGCAGTATTTAAAAAAATTCGGGAGGTTAGATGATGATCGAATATTAAAAGGGGAAAGGAAGCCTAGAAGAAGGATTTTTAAACGAGATGACACGAGGCTGCTGTTGGGGAGGAGGAGATTTAATACGCACTCTTCGTATGCTCAGATGTAGGCTTGTCTTGCAATGGCAGGTGGATCCGAGACCAATTCAATCCCTGTCTGTACATTCGCCTCCCTAGGTGGAAGAGGCACGCACGCGCCCACCCGCAAACTGAGAGAATGACGTAGCAGCCTTGCTCCGCGTGGTGGGAAGCTCTTGGAAGGTCCCTGGCAGCAAAGTGGGGAGCCCTAAAATAGAAGAGCAGAAGCCGGGATCATTTTATTGCTGATTTATTATAAACCAGTTACTACAATACTACGTTTCTGCATTTTTGGCTCGCGCAAACCACATTGTAGCACCCGCTTCCCCGCAGTTCTGGTTGTTTGCTGCAAGAAAACGTACATTTAAAAAATCGCCCTTCCGCACAGCAGCCGAGCCTAAGAAACAAAAATTTTATTATCCGAGGTTTCCTCGGCCGCTTGGCGCTGCAGGAGGAGGATGCTTTGAATATTTATTTTTTTCCCCCCAAAGACTTAAAACCGCGGAAGTGACCGCTGACTAAGGACGTGGCCGAAAGGGAGACGGGATGATGACAAGGTTTAAAACTGAAAGCCCCAAACGGATTTTTTTTTTATTTGCGTTAAGCAATAGCCTTCATACTTTTGTATATTTTATACAAAGTCAGCTTATTGCCCCCCCAATCTGGGTCCTCATTTTACCTACCTTAGAAAGGATGGAAGGCTGAGTCAACCTTGAGCCTGGGGAGATTTGAACTTGCAGTAATTGCAGGCAGCTGATGTTAATAACAGTGCTATAGTCTGCTGCGCTACCAGGACTCCTGGTACTTAATCTAGAATTTGCCAAGAATGTTTCTAATGGAGCCCTGGTTAAAATTATGCATTTCACAAAAAAGCCGCCTCCCATCTGATAAATGCAAAAGTCATAACATCCTGATTTGGGCCTGATCTTTTTCCTAGAAATACAAACTGGAGAGACGTGAGGCTGATCATGATTTAGGGCAGGGGTCTCTGCAACCTTGGCAACTTTAAACCTGGTGGACTTCAACTCCCAGAATTCCCCAGCCAACTTCAACTCTGGGAGTTGAAGTCTGGCAAGGCTTAAAGTTGCCAAGGTTGCAGACCCCTGATTTAGGGGATGATGATTGTATATTAAAGAAGTTAGGGTTTGGGTGCTTAAAACAGCTGTCAGCCCTGGAAAGGGAACGGACACCGAATGCATGATTGTTAACTTAGTACATTGATATTTTCATATGTATAAATCAGTGGTGGGTTCCAACCGGTGTTACCACCGGTTCTCTTCGTGCACACGCTTTGTGCGCGATCGCCGCACAAAGCACTCGCTTCGCTCTCACACGCACCGAACTTGTGCTTTGCGCAAGCGCATTAGATATCTGCCCAACTGAGGTGCGGCAATTCACTCTGCCGTGCCAATCAGCTAGGCTAAAAACTGAGAAATAAAGGTAGGAATAAAGCGGGGGCGGGCAGGAGGGCCCATCTCCCAGTCAAAGAAAACCGGTTTGGTGACATCACATCGTCACCACTACCGGCTCGGCCGAACCGGGCCAAACCAGGAGCAACCCACCACTGGTATAAATAAATATTAGAATCACATGTATAGATAGTAAATAGAAAAAAGGGAGAAAAACGGATATATAAGGAATGAAAACTGATGTGGAAATGTTGGAAAGAAGAAAATTGTAAACATTTCATTTTTTGTTTTAAAAAAACAATAAAAATTATTTTTTAAAAAAGCTGTCAGCCCTGATTTAATCTGTGATTTAATCTTGATTTAGGCTAGCCAACTTTGAAATCTGGAATCGGTAATCTAGGGAAAATGTGCTCATCTGACTATCATAACTATTTTCATCTGCAGGCTTAATTTATTTTGCTTATTCATTTTATTATGTATTTATTTATGCGCTCCCAAGGAATTCAAACCACATCCCAGCTTTTCCACCTCACTGTGTTTTATCTTTACAATCACAGCCTCAGGTAGATTATTAAGATCTGAGAAAAAAGTGATTTGCCCATATGAATATTTATGAGCATGAAAATTTGAGTCGGAATTTCCCTTTTCTACTCCAACACGTCTTTTTAAAATTTGCTGGTTCCCCCCCCCTTGCTTTTGGCTTTTATCCTCCTATAATATTGTGCTACGATCTTACCTGTGTGGATGCATTATATCTGTGAAAAGGATTGGACTAAAGTTGAGCAGAATTTTTTTAAAAACTTAACTACAACATCTCGATAAACAAAGATTCTCAGTAGGTGGCAGCATGTAGCCAACCTTGGCCGATCTTTAAAAAGCTAAGCAGAACCAGACCCGTGTAGTGCTTGGATGGGAGGCCACAAAGAATCCAAGCTCTACAAGGTTGCCAAACAAATAAAGACTAGCTGAAGATAAAGGCAAACTGCTTTCATATTGTTGCCAAGAAAGCAGCCTGACTGTAGCCTTAAAATCACAGACATCAAGCATATTATAAGGGTGATGTTACCTTTTAACCCAGCATTTCTCAACCTTGATCACTTTTAAGATGTGTGGACTTCAACTCCCAGAATTCCCCAGCTAGAACCATGGATTTTAGAAGTTGAAGCCACACGTCTTAAAAGTTCCCAAGGTCATAAACCCTGTTTTAACTTAACAAAAAACTTGTAAGATGGGCCAGTTATTTCCTTGTTGGAGAAAAATGGGAATGGAAAGTTTTATGTCTCATAAGGTTTTATGTTTGAATTGAATATCTATCTTTAACTTTCCAAATTATTCTGAGAGCAGGGTAAAGCTTGAGTAAAGGGAAAGTCAAGGCAATGGAGATGAAGCTATGACATGAAAACTGAGATAAGAATGTATCTAATTTAGGAAAGTGTAAATCCAGCTTCAGGCACAAATAATTGAAAGCGGCTTTTCTTTTTAAATCAAATAGAAACTGCAGCCAAGACCACCAGGGTACTGATTATTTGTATACAGCACTGTCACAGGTTCCTTTAAACTATAGGTAGTCCTTGACTTATGTCCACAATTGAGGCCCAAATTTCTGCTGCTAAGCAAGACAGTTGAGTTCTGCCCCATTTTATGACCTTTCATGCCACAATTGTTAAGTGAATCACTGCAGTTAAGTTAGTAATATGGGTTAAATGAATCTGGCTTCCTCATTGACTTTGCTTGTCAGGTCGCAAAAGGAAATCAGATATCAGTCATATCATATCATATCACCCACTGCAACCAGCGGTGGGTTCTAATTTTTTTTACTACCGGTTCTGTGGGCGTGGCTTATTTTGTGGGTGTGGCTTGATGGTCATGTGACAATTCTTTAGGACTTCGCAGAGGTACTGGTCTACCAGGCTTTTAACTGCTTGCAGAGCTGTACCGGTCTACTCATTTATTTTTGCAGGCACAGGTCTACTCATTCGTTTTTGGAGGCACCAGTCTACCACCACAGTGACTTTTAACACTGATCAGCTGTAGGGCGGCCCTTTGAAGCCCTGCAAGACTTTAAACAGTTTTTTTCCTTCTAGCCGATCAGCTGGGATTCAGGAGGCAGCAATAGATTGGGAGTGGGGCCAAATAAAAGGTAAGAATAACACGGGGAGGGCCCAGCTCCCAAACAAAGAGAACCAGTTCGGTGACGTCATATCGTCACTGCTATCGGCTCGGCTGAACCGGGCCGAACCGGGAGGAACCCACCACTGACTGCGACAGTCATGAATATCATCCAATTGCCAAGCATCCAAATTTTGATCACATGACCATGAGGGATGTTGCAATGGCCATAAGTGCAAGGTCCAGTCATAAGTAGCTTTTTTTCTGTGCCATTGTAACTTCCGTCACTAAACAAATGGTTGTAAGTTGAAGACTACCTGTATACTCAGGTCAATGGGCTCCCAAACCCCAGAGAGCCAAAACAACCACACAGGTCTCTAGACCCTCAAAGGCTAATATAATACTTAACTTCCCGCTACTCCACTCTTTCCCATTTCTATTGTAGCTCCTATTACTGCTCCTCCACTACTACAGATAGTCCCTGATTTACAACAGTTCATTTAGTGACCAAAGTTACAACGGCACTGAAAAAAGTGATTGATGACCATTTTTCACCCTTAGGACTGTGGCAGCATCCCCATGATCAAAATTCAGATGCTTGGCAACTGGCATGTATTTATGACGGTTGCAATGTCCCAGGGTTACAGTACGTGATCACATTTTGTAACCTTCCGACAAGCAGTCAATTGGGAAGCCAGATTCACTTAACAACCATGTGAGTAATTCAAATAATTGCAGTGATTCACTTAACAACTGTGGCAAGAAAGGTCATAAAATGGGGCAAAATCCAGTTAACTGTCTCACTTAGCAACAGAGATGTTGGGCTCAGTTGTGGTTGTAAGTTGAGAGCTGCCCTGTTTCCCCCAAAATTAGACATCCTCTGATAATAAGCCCAATTGGGTTTTTGAGGGCATGGCAATAAAGCAAAGCGGGTCTTATTTTCGGGGAAACACGGTACCTGTATTCCTTTGGAGTCCTAGTGCTGGAGAACAATCTATTTGCCTTAGGCGGCTTCAGGCTTCACTTCCATAATCAAACCTCCTTTCCTCCCACTCCAAAACCA